TAGTAAATAGTAAAAATTGTTCCTGCAAAACACAACTCAGCCAACAGGACTGCTTGCAAAAAGGAGAACTGTTCTCATTAGTGTTGTAAATGCCAGAGAGTTGCATTTAACAGCCAAAATAAAGGCAGTGAGAGACTCATGAGCATAAATACAAAGTGTAGTTACAAGAAACTAAAAGTCTGTGTCACCAACAACATTCCTTCATTGTCTATATGTATAATATATATATATATTTTATATATATATACATATACACACTATAGCTACTTCTGTTCTCCCACAGAGCCAATGTCCTGTGGAGATTCTGTGGGTCTGTGATCCTGTGGAATTGAATAGTTTAGGACCTTAAAGAGACCTTAAAGATCATCCTGTTCCAACAGGGGACACCTTCCCCCAGAGCAGCCTGCTCAGGGCTCCATTTATGATTTAAAGCAGAGCAGAATGCACTGAAAGCAAGGGCAGAAAACACCAGGAATCCACCTGATTTCTGACCAATTCTGGCCCAACAAACCCCCAGAGCTGTACCTGGTAGGAGTCCATGCACACGGGGCTCGAGGCCAGCTCCTCATCCACGGCGTGCAGCTTCTCCATGAACGTGCTGTCCTTGCTCTGCTTGGGTTTGGGAGGTGGTGGAGGCCCCATGGGAACCACCTCAGCACTGATGTGCCTCACAGCAGGTGGAGTGACCTTCTCCACCTAATCAGAAAGGCCTTTGTGTTAAAAGGTTGGATTTAAGAGCACGGATTTTTCAGGATAAAGTCTCTTTTTTTTTTTTTTGTCCCTGGCCTGGCGCAGCAGGAAGGAGGGAAAGCTTCTCAGGAGGGAATGGATTCCTTGTGCTACACTCACTTTGGTTCCCAGAAAGCACAGAGATACACCAAGACTTGCAGGAAAGGAGATATTAGGAAGGTTTGAGTATCAGCCTCAACATTTCTAGAGCTGATAAACGAGTTACTGTGGCAGAATCCAAACCCATGGTGAGCAGAACGGGGAAATATCAATATAATATTGCTCTTTCTGCCTGCAGGGTCAGTTCTCAGGCACTTTCTTGCCCTTCTCTGATGGTCCTTGGTCCTTATCTCACTGATGTGACAGTGCACAAGGTCACCACAAACACCTTCATGCTTTTATAAAACCCACTTTCTCCTCTTGAGCCGAGCACAGACAGCAACTCCCCTGCACTCCTCCCACAAATAACCAGAAAAATAACTCTTATCTGAGACAATAACTATTATCTGAGACAATAACTATTATCTGAG